GAATAATCATTTTTATTATGCAAATTCTTCTATAAATCATGTCGTTGTGTTAAATTATTCTTTACCTTATGTGTGCACACGTTGTCACAAGCGAAAATTAAGAAAATTGCAGTAAAAAGCCACCACCAAATTGTAAACAACGAACAAATGTTAAAAAACGGCTAATGTCAAAGTCGCCCAACCTTTTTCCTAAATGCGATTATAACGGGCTACTAAGAAGAAGGCGTGATCTTGTATTTTTGGTTCATGCTGTTCTAGTTATATATGTATCTTGTGAAAGTGAAACATGACTTTTGCTAAGGCACCGATGCCAGATCGGAAATTTATTACACTTCTTTTTAGAAATATTTCGCGAAAAGTTACGTTACCAGACTTCCACCTTAACAATAGTTTTTATAAAAGATTATTAATTTTAGTTAAATAAATCATTAAAGAAAATTTCTTATTTTGGAGATAAATCTAATCTGTGGAAAGTGAAGTAAAGCGAAGTAGAATGAAGTGACGTAGTGATGGCTTCCAAAGTGAAGTGAAATACTTCAATTGAAGTGACGGCGGCAGCGCTGAACACCACCTTGTATAAATTCGCCGCGGTACTGCTGAATGTCAAACTGATGTGTTTGTTGTAAACAAGGCGAATTTATACAAGGTGGTGTTACTGGCGAATTTAGATTTTCGTCGCGGTACATATTTGGGGTGTTCACAGTTCGTTCCAAATAGCGTCTCAAAATGTAGACGTCTACATTTTAAGACGTTTTCTAACCGTAAAATCTGTGGTGTTGTTGTTTCCCATACAAAATTGGAAAACGACGCCGTCTACATTTTGTCACACTCAAAGGTATGTTTTTTACGCGTCTACATTTTGCGACCTCGCAGCAGGGTTGCATTATGGCAATACTTATCACATTTTTTTTATTTATTGGGCACGTTTTCTGTATTTGCATTTAATTTGAGCGCAATTTCTGATGAAAAGAAACAAATCAAGGAAAAGAAATAACAAATATTACGAATTGGTAATTAAGTTAAATAATTACAATTTTTCAGAAACAAAATCGAAAGGCGACATATAAAAAATGCACGCAAGGAAGAAATGTCTGGCAACACCAGCAAAGTTTTGAGACGATTTTGCGACGACTGCTAGAAAGGGGCGCTCACAGTTTGATGCTAAAGATGTCTCAAAATGTAGACGTCTACATTTTCAGACACAATTTGGAACGAACTGTGAACACCCCAATTAATGTCAAAATAGTGTGTTTGTTGTAATATGAATTCGCCTTGTTTACAACAAACACATCATTTTGACATTAATATGTACCGCGGCGAAAATCTAAATTCGCCAGTAACACCACCTTGTATAAATTCGCCTTGTAGTCGACACTCGAAATTGTGTGCAGGCTCTTTGGGTGGCGTTGCGGGAGCTGTTAGCCGAGGAAGCAACCTAAGACCTGAGCAGGTTCTTAGGCTACTCCATCCGTTGCACCTCGCATAAGTGGAATTCGGATGGAGTCGTGTCTGGCAGAAGTAGATTTCTGGTCCGAGGTTAGACTCAATACCCGCATGGACGAAAAACGATTAATGGAGTTGGCCGATCTAAACGGGGTTAGGTCGCCAAAACAACAGCTCTTGGTCGGGTAAAACCAGAGTCGTGGGAATGGCGTTAATAATACACCTTCTGACTTTCTTTGCTGAATTTTGGGCACGTTCCGCTAAAATGCACTTCTACCAAAATGAAATTAGGTCGCGCGGGCATAACTTATTTTGACAATGAAATTAAGCCGCGATCAAAATATTTACGCAGCGCGGCCAAAATTCATTTAGACAAATGAAATTAAGCCGCGACAAAAAATTAAATGAGGCCGCCGAAAAAATAAGAAAGCGGCCATAACCCACGCGGTCTTAATTGCATGCCCAAAAGTAAACGGAACAAGTGCAGAATGGCACCCTGAAATTGTGCATATGGAAACTGTGCATACGAAATAATGCATATGAAAAAAACCGAAATAATGCATATGAAAAAAACCGAAATGATGCATATATGCACAGTTTCGGTTGAAAACCGCAATAATGCATATTAGAAAAACCGAAATTATGCATATACACTGTTTCTTTTGACAACCGAAAGAATGGCACCCTGAAATTGTGCATATGGAAACTGTGCATACGAAATAATGCATATGAAAAAAACCGAAATAATGCATACGAAAAAAACCGAAATAAAGCATATATGCACAGTTTCGGTTGAAAACCGAAATAATGCATATGAAAAAAAACCGAAATAATGCATATATGCACAGTTTCGGTTGAAAACCGAAATACCGCATCTGAAAAAATCGAAATAATGCATACATGCATACTTTCGAAACCCGGAATAACGCATATGAGAAAAACGAAGTAATGCATGCATGCAGAGTTTCGGTTCAAAACCGAAATAATGCATATGACAAAACCCAAATTAATGCATACATGCACAGTTTCGACTCAGAACCGAAATAATGCATATGACAAAAACAGAAATAGTGCATACATGAAAACGAACTTCCTTCTGCATAGGCGGACTTCGGCCGCGCTTAGGGATTATAAAGGTAAGACCGCACTTAGCGACGCGATACAGCAGCGGCACTACGCGACACGGCGCGACACTTTTTGGAATATCGCACTGAAACTGCATCGGCGCGACACTTCGCTGCAAATTTTTTAATTTATTTGTGTCAAAACCTTCAAACAAGATGGATGCCAGTGACGCTGTTGTAATTTTAATGCCTTTTATTTTTATTTTCCTTGGCGAATTCTTCTCAAATATTATATTTCTTTACATACAATTTTCTTCTTGAATGAAATGCATGTGAATATTGACTCAAAATTGGAAATCCAAGTACTTCAAGTTAAAAATATAGTACGAAATGTTATGTCGTTCCGCTAGGTATACCGCGCTACGCGGCACCGGAACTGCGCGACACCACGCGGCGCGACATTTTTGCCTAGTTGGTCAACTTCGCCGCGCAGCGTCGCGTCGCGTAGCTCCGCTGCAGCGTAGTGCGGTATGCTCCATAAGAATACATGCAAAGAATATTTTGCCGCGCTGTGTAGTGTCGTGTCGCGTCGCCTAGTGCGGTCGTACCTTAACCCTTACTAAGGGCCGTTTTCACCATGTCTAGTTAATTCTAACTCCCAGTTAAACATCTTTATCGACGTTATCGACACCCATCATATAAGATGTGATCGATAAAGCAGTTAACGTGCTTAACTGAAGGATGTACCTCCAGTTAGCGTTAACTAGACATGGTGCAAACGGCCCTAAGTAGAACTCTCCGGAAAAGAAGGGCGGAAGTATTTTTGAGCAGAACTTTTTTCTGCGTAGGCGGCCTTCGGCCGCGCTTAGGGATTATAACCCTTACTAAGTAGAATTCTCCTTTCTGTGTTGCCGGAAAAGAAGGGGACGGAAGTATTTGTGGGCAGAACTTCTCTCTGCGTTGGCGGCCTTCGGCCGCGCTTAGGGATTATAACCCTTACTAAGTAGAATTCTCCTTTCTGTGTTGCCGGAAAAGAAGGGGACGGAAGTATTTGTGGGCAGAACTTCTCTCTGCGTTGGCGGCCTTCGGCCGCGCTTAGGGATTATAACCCTTACTAAGTAGAATTCTCCTTTCTGTGTTGCCGGAAAAGAAGGGGACGGAAGTATTTGTGGGCAGAACTTCTCTCTGCGTTGGCGGCCTTCGGCCGCGCTTAGGGATTATAACCCTTACTAAGTAGAATTCTCCTTTCTGTGTTGCCGGAAAAGAAGGGGACGGAAGTATTTGTGGGCAGAACTTCTCTCTGCGTTGGCGGCCTTCGGCCGCGCTTAGGGATTATAACCCTTACTAAGTAGAATTCTCCTTTCTGTGTTGCCGGAAAAGAAGGGGACGGAAGTATTTGTGGGCAGAACTTCTCTCTGCGTTGGCGGCCTTCGGCCGCGCTTAGGGATTATAACCCTTACTAAGTAGAACTCTCCTTTCTGTGTTGCCGGAAAAGAAGGGCGCAAGTATTTTTGAGCAGAACTTCTCTCTGCGTAGGCGGCTTTCGGCCGCGCTTAGGGATTAAAACCCTTACTAAGTAGAAGTAAATAATTTATATTAGAAAAAAAGGAAATTATCCATATGCACACTTTCGTTAGAAAACCGAAATAATGCATATAACAAAAACCGAAATAATGCATGCATGCACAATTTCGGTTCAAAACCGAAATAATGCATATGTGAGAGACGAAGGTATGCATACATGCACAGTTTCGGGTGAAAACCGAAATAATCACAGTATATACAGTAATAAACCTTTTTGAGTACACGTCGGGGGGTAAAATCTGATCAGGGTTGATAATGAGAAGGACCATGAATTTTGCTGATTCAGAGTTGCATACAAAATTACTGTGGTATGAAAGGGAACAACAACCGCACTAACGCAGAGTGGCACAGGTAATTTTGTAAACAAACACTTTTCTTATCATTTTAAAAAGATAATTGCTATTTATTTCCCAATATTCAGATATCCAGCTTGTAGCCAGATACAGTGGCTTGTGAGGTTCACTAAAATCGACTCATCATATTGGAACAGCTCAGGGTAATGGACCATTGAATGTGTTGGCTGAACTTATGACCGCCATGACCAACGCACTCGCCAACCAAATGCGTGTCTTGAATTTATATGGTAGAAATTCATAGCAATTGCTATTGCATGTGTGTATGATCCATATTTGTGATATTCTACACTTTGATGTTAAGGGCCGGTTACTCAATGTCTGGTTATCACTAATCTCCGGTTAAACATAGTTATCGACGTTACCGACCCCCTGTTGTATGAATGGAATCGAATACGTCGATAACAATGTTTTACCGGAGATTAGTGTTAAAAAGACCTTGAGTAACCGGCCCTAAGGGCCGGTTGTTAAATGTCTGATTAACACTAATCGGAGGTAGAAGCTCTGGTTAAGTACGACAGCTTTATCGATCACATGTTATATGCATGATGTCGAAAACGTCGATAATGATGTTTAACCGGCAAGTAGTGATAACCAGACATTGAACAAGCGGCCCTAAGGGCCGGTTACTCAATGTCTGGTTATCACTAATCTCCGGTTAAACATCGTTATCGACGTTACCGACTCCATGTTATATGCATGGAGCCGAACACGTCGATAATGATGTTTAAACGGAGATTAGTGTTAACCACATATTGAGTAAACGGCCCTAAGTATTTTTGAGGAGTTCCGCTCAAACTTGGGTGTGCTTAATGAGCTGTCAGGGCGAATGCGCTGGCAGGCATTGGAGTCTCTATAACTAAACAAACATTGTTTTTTTGGAATAAAGATTTAAATATATTCGGAAATTTTGAGTTTTCTTTGATAAATACACAAAATTCACGTTTTTTAATAAAAAAAATACGATTGAGTTGCCAGTTTATAGAAACGCAAGCGTTAATTATGTAGTTAACTATGGATATTATTCTTAATTAAGCATTGATACTATACTTAATCTACATTTTGTTCATAAATAACACAATTATATAAATTTTATCCTCGAGAAGACCTTTTTCTATTCATCAGGCGAAATTCTCCACAGTAAGTGTTGCCGTGCGCGCAAAACAAAAACGCTGCACACAACCCAAAAGTAATCCTCGGGGGCCAATTGGTGAAAAACTGCGAAAAGGTTTATTACTGTATATACTGTGGAAATAATGCATATAACAAAACCCGAAATAATGCATGCATGCACAGTTTCGGTTGGAAACCGAAATAATGCATATGAAAAACCCGAAGTAATACATACATGCACAGTTTCGGTTGAAAACCGAAATAATGCATATGAGAAAATACCGAAATTATGCATATGCATACTTTCGCTTTAAAAGCGAAATAATGCATATAAAAAAAAAAAACGAAGTAATGCATACATGCACAGTTTCGGTTGAAAACCGAAATAATGCATATGGCAAAAACCGAAATAAAGAATACATGCACAGTTTCGGTTAAAACCGAAATAATATCTAAGGGCCGGTTGTTCAATGTCTGGTTATCACTACTTGCCGGTTAAACATCATTGTCGACGTTTTCGTCACCATGCTTATAACATGTGATCGATAAAGCACTCTAAGGGCCGGTTGTTCAATGTCTGGTTATCACTACCACTACACTATCGACGATTTCGCCATGTAACATGTGATCGATAAAGCAGTAGTTGTGCTTAACCGGAGCTTCTACCTCCGATTCGTGCTAATCAGACATTGAACAACCGGCCCTAAATGCACAGTTTCCATATGCACAATTTCGGTGCGCCGTGCAGAATACCTGCATTTCTCTACTTTGAACTTCAATAGGGGCGTTCGACAAGTCAAAAATTTGTAATAGTTTTCCAACTAGTTTTTACTTCTAGAAATGTTCGCTTAAAAAAGGCTTATAAATTGAAAAATGTTTGTAAACGGCAATTTAAAAAGCTTTTTAAATTTTTTATTTTTTTATTAATAAGGCAATAAAAATATATGATTTACAATAACTTTTAACAAAGGAAATACGAAATAAGGTGATTTTTGCGGAAGTGGGTATTAGTGAATTTCAGTGCATTTAAAGTTTCTGAGGTTTCGCTTACTTTTAGATCAGAATTGTCAAAATTGAGAAATTCAAAGTAACAGTACAATAATCATCGAAAAGAAGATTGCGCCCTGCTGTGATGATGAGTAAATTTACCACAATGAGGAAGAATATAATTAAGTGAAAAAATTTTATTTTTACAAATTTAGTGAGCAGTAACGCGTTTCAAGAACGATATTTCAGACAAATCGTTAATGAACAACTATTTTTCCTTCCCGTCTGCTTTGGTTTTGGCAAAAAGTCATTTCAACCATTAAATAATATTATTTGCAAGAACCATTCACTAAAATTGTAACTAACTTTTTATTATTTATTAATTCCTTTTTGATATTCAGCTATAACAAGATGGAAAAAAAATTATGAACCAAAATTAGTAATATTTTTATGAATGTAGTTATAAAAGTTCACAGAGGAAACGCCGGAAAACAATGTATTGGCAACAACATAAAATGTATGGCAATTTAGATGTCAACAGAATAATAACTACGATAAAAAAGCATGAGAGAAGTGTGCGAAAAACGGTCAACAAATTTCTTATAAAATATTTTGATTTTTGCTGGGTGTAAATGAAAACTCAATGAGTATTAAGGAAAAGAAAAATTTAAAATAATAAACAGAAAAAAGATGGGTGCACCAAAACTTGAGTTAAATGTTTTTCCCAAATTCTTAAAAGGAAAACAAATCGATTTTTTTAATGTTACTTTACATCTATTTTCTTTTTTATGAATAAGGCCATAAGCATGTACCCTTTTTATAAATACATCTTATAGCAATATGCTATATATTTATTTATATACTTTTTGGCTGGCGAAATATGTAATTTTTCAACTTAATAAAAAAGCGTCTTCAACCACATTACTTTTTTTTTAATATTGAATGGCACAACACAACAACTCTTTTTGTTGCACGAAACCCTTGAACACGTGCCTGTCATCTATTTCTTCTGTTTCGACATTTCGGTATTTTGCATTTCTTTAATTTTGACGTCATTCGCATTGTCAGATTTTTGAAATTCGTTTTGGTTCGACATTCTGCTATTTCATAATTCTTTCATTGTCATGTCATCCATTTTCCATTTCTTCGCATCGTCGAAGGTGCCTGTCAAACACTGCCGCCATCATGCTTTTCAGTTTGGCAGGCCCGTCCGCTGTTTGGCAGGCACGTCCGCTGTTAGAAAGAGAATAGACAAAAAGGGGCATAGGATTCCATACTTGTGTAAGTATATACGATGCATTCGGCCAATCAAATTTTCAAAGTATATCAAAGCAAATTGAAGTCAGCAAGGCGCGCAAAGCAAGCCTGCATTGGGCCAGCGCCTTAAAGACCCCTATCGATCCTAATATAAATTTTTTTAATCAGAGAAATGTTGTTCCCAGCTTCTACGTACTTTGAACTTCAATAACACCAGTAATTATTATTTCCCGCACAAAAAAATTATACCGTTATGATCAGGACTATGATCGATTCTAATATACATTTTTTAAATTTGGGAATTGTAGGTATTCCACATTTAAGCCAAGTAAACTAAACATCGCATCGCGGAAAAATTATCAGTTTCACAAATTTTTGCTCTACAGAAACTCCTAACAACCCAGCGATCTTCAAAAAAAACTACTTTTAGTTCAAAAACTTTTTTTATTAAATTCGTATGCAAAAACCTAAGCTTTATATGATAAAATTTTTGCTGCTATTAACTCGGCATCATTCAATGAAAGTTCTGAGGTAAACTTTACTTTTTTAATAGTACGCTCCTCACGGTCGTCTATATTGATTTGCGATGCTTCCCTTTTTTCCGCCCTTTTAGGATTTGAAATGTATATCTTATCAGGATCTGGTAACCAGGTCAAATCCACGTTGTCATCGCTTTCACTATAAGCATCATCGGTCTTTGGATCTTCGTCGGCCAGTTTTTTCAGCTTATCCTTCTGTTTTTTGTGGCGATATTTCACGAGTTCTCTAAACCGTTCTTTATCATATTTATCTTCTTGTGATAAAATTCGTTTTGCAACCTCAATATTTATTCCTCCAGCATTTTTTCCATAATCAGTGGGCAGTTCATATTGAAGTTGCCTTCTTTTATCTATTATTACATTACCCTCATCATCAAAATTCATTTTCTCATTTATTTTAATTTTTTTTCTTATAGCCCTCTTTGCTACCGCAGCTTTTGTTAGCACTTTAGTTCTTTTGGGAAGATCTATCGGGACATTTGCGGTATTTACAAGATCATGATCAATTCGTTTTACTGAAAGAAAATCGTCATTATCAGAATCGTCTTGCATAAAATTATTTGGCTCATCTAATGAGTTCGAAACCGAGGAATTTTTCTTTTTTGATAGGCGCTCTAAAAAGCGTACTCGTGGAGTGACAGCGAGACCAAGGGAAATGGCGAAGGATTCGAAATTTATGTTGAATACATTGAACACATTCTTATTTTTCATAAGGAATACGGATTTAATGTACGATAAGAAGGCACGTTGCGCTGATGCTTTCAACTCGGTATTTTGCGCTAAAGCGGCTTCTATTTTCAGCCTTGGCGAAAAAAGTTTTTTCGGATCAATGTGTATCTTCTGGATTTGTATATTACACGTACGCAGTTCCCTTATCATACCTGATTCCTCGGAAGGTGTCAAAACAAGTAGACTCTCGCCTCGCGCTTTATTTCTTGCAGTCCTTCCAGCTCTATGTATGTATTGGACTGCATCTTCGGGACAATCCATCTGGACAACCCAGTTTACTGTTGGGAAATCTAAACCGCGCGATGCAATATCAGTTGCAAATAGTACAACATTGCTTTTGCGAGTAAAATCATTATATATCGCGATTCTTCGATCTTGATGCAAACTACCGTAAAGTGCTAACAAGCTGGTACCAGGGCGAAGTTTACAAAATATTTCGAAAACATATTTTACCTGTTTACAACTGGTAAAAAATACAATCATTTTTTGTTTGAGGTGGTTGTTTATAAAGGACCATAAGACAGTAATTTTGTCTGCCAGCTCAATTACGACGTAATTTTGTTGCAAAAGAATCGGTATTATGTCTTTGGAATTATCTTTTTTACTGCCAATGAATATTGGGTCACGTAAGTTAAGACGTGCAATATCCTTCACAGAGTGGGTTTGGGTAGCGGAAAATAATAGAGTTTGCCGTTCTGTTGGAAAGTTTTCTATAATGGCGTTGAGAGTTTCCTCAAATCCCATATCCAAGCACCTGTCAGCCTCGTCTAATACTAAAAGTTCCATGGTACTGGCATTAAATAAGGGATTTTCATCCATATGCTGCAAGAGTCTGCCAGGTGTACATATTAATATGTTACACTGATCCATTCTATTTCGTTCATACTTCAGGTTTTTACCACCAATTATGAGTCCAGCAGAAAAATCATGGTATCTACCGATTCGTTTTAATGTCTCAAATATTTGATATGCGAGCTCACGTGTGGGCGAGATAACTATCGCACATACTCCATCAGAACGTGACCACTTGTTAATGAATAAATGTTCAATAACCTGAAAACGTATGATGGTATTCAATTTAGATAAAACAATTAACCTATAATTTGTTAGAATATAAATAAATAAAACCAAGTACATACTGGAACGAGGAAAGCTAATGTTTTTCCACTGCCAGTTACCGCAGTTCCCATGACATCTTTTCCTATTAAAGCTGGCAATATGCCATTTCGTTGAATGTCTGTCGCTTCAATATAATTGGAATCCAACAAACCGTTTAATGTCTTTTGGGACAAAGGCATATCCTCAAATCTTTTGACTTCTGATCCAACCGACGCAGAATCATACTTCATCTTGAGTTCTCCAATCTCTTGATCATTATTATAGAAGTTATTAACCTTCCTATTATGTTTTATGAACTTAGTTTTCATCTTTAGATGAATTACTAATTTGACAGTAAATAAGTTGACAAGAAAATATGCTTAAAAAAATAGATAACAGGTGCAAGTCAACAGAACCGAGGTTCTTTCATCGACTAAATTAAAGATCGATGAATCGATGGGGACAAAAGGATACAAGTACATACTAAAGCTGATGCCAGATAAAACTATGTGGCTTTGCGTGACATTTATAACTTTGCCAGCAAAGCGCCAGAAGCAAAAAGTATGCCGCAATGAACGCCAAGAAAACAATTTTGTTCTGATTTTTACTCCTCAAAATTGCTGTGGATTTCATTTATTTAGCTTTAAAAATATCAGCAATGTAATTAAATTTTATGTTTTTGCATGAAAACTCGAATTTGGACGAAACAAAATAAATATTAAAGCGGCTGATTGTCAACGCGCGCAAAAAGTTGAGAGTTGGCCATCTTTTCGGTTCGCGCTGCGGCTGAAGCGATCTATGTGACATGCTTTGTGCATTTTCATACATTTCATATTTGCTGTCAAAGCGAATCTGTCACGCAACGCGAAGCAAAAGTTTTATCTGACATCGCCTTAAAGGCCGGTCCACATAGAACTTTCGTGTTAGCTTTGGCGTTGGCGTTGGTTTGACAGAACGCACGTTAAAAGTATGCTTGCTACAATGAGCGCTTGGCAGCGAATGCTTGGGCCACTACATTAATATACTAACGACAGATAAATTAATATTTCATATCAATAATTGCATTAAAAACGATATTTCTTGCCCGCACTTGATTAAAAAGGAAAATATTTCACATAATTTTATTTATTTGCAACAGCTGACGAGCGACGCACGCGAAAAGATGAGAGTTGGCCATCTTTTTGCTTTGTGTTGGCGTGAGCGTTGTCGAATTTTGGCTATGTGGACGGCTGCATTTGAATTCATGTATTCATAGTCAGCTGTTGAAGCGACGCCAACGCCAACGCAACGCCAAAGTTCTATGTGGACGGGCCTTAAGAGTGGGTAACTCAGCAAATTTATAGGAGTTGACTCAATGACTCCAACTCTCTTTAAAGAGTCAGCTCATTCAACTAACTCATTCGACTATTTGTATGTTACACTCATTCGTATCGTAGACTCGTTTTGAGGCATAGATGCGGTATAGCGGCCGTTAAGATAAAACAAAACTTTAAAGTGGGCGGGGTCAGCTCCTTTCTACTGATTTGAAAGGTGTAATTTTTTTTGTGTGCAAATTAATAGGGTGGTGCTAGGGGGAGGGTAAAGGTGGAATTTTCAATATTTTCAAAAGCTTATATTTCGAAACCTATTGTACCGAATTTCAAAATGTGGATATGGTTGGAAAGGCAATTGATTTGATATGCACATCTTTATATATCTTACATACATACATATTTCGAGAAAAACTAAAAAAAAACGAAATTATAAGAATTTGTGAGATTTGACATAACACCCGCAATACAAAATACATGTGGTTGTTGTTGTTGTATTCTTGCCACCACCTTGTATAAATTCGCCTCGTGCAAAAACAAAATGCAAGACTTTGCCATGCTAAACACTGTGGCGAAGCGAGAGAGTTATATGGACAAATATGAGCCACTATGATTCAATTGATTCATGTGAGCCCTACGGCATCAACTGAGTTACTGAGTTAAATTTTTTTTGGACAGGGAGTCTGAGTTACCGATTCACTTATAGGAATCAACTCAATAACTCAACTCTGAGTTGAGTAACCCACCTCTAGTACATACAAACACATACTACGTTTATGCGACAGAATTCGTGAACAGTTGGGCATTATTCGAAAAAATTGTTATTTAGATAATTATTCGCATAAAATTTTATCCGTAATATAATTAATCGCAAATAACTTATTCACGAATAAATTATTCGTGAATAAATTTCTTGCGAATAATTTATTCGTTATTTTAAATAATGAATAAAAACTCATTTTTAACACATCGAGCCACCTTTTACTTTTTTTTCTATTGTCAAGGATTGTGAGTTAGCTGAATTCTGTTTACTATTTTATCAAGAATACTAGCCCATTCCCTCTGGTTTCGCGGCCCCTGATAAGATTTTTTGCGTTGGCCAATGCAAGAATAGCGATGAAAACCAAATATGGGTAAAGTAAAAATTCTTAATTTAGGTTGAACAACTAAAGACCCTTCTCACACATATTTCTGCCAAAAAAATAGCGCTCTGATGCTATATGCAAGAAAAAATTCCTTTCAATGTCATGAGCTTTACCGATGGTCTTATTTCCACTTGTGAGATCTTTTTTAAGCGTGCGTAATCTATTTCTATGATCTTGCAACTACAACATTGGTCCGATGCGTCAACCTCTAGTCTTATGTCATGTAGGCCAACAAAAGTCCTTATAAGGAAGCTGAAGAGCACAGATGTGCGTTTTCTATTATAGGAGAGCCAAAAATCCTCGATGTAAAATTTGGCCATTGATATACCAACAGTGGTCTTTCTTGGAAGGATGTGGTCGAAACTTTCCTTGCTGATTCGCTACTTTTAAAATATCCAGGAGCTGGTTTCCTTGAGTCTTACTGCTGCAGCAATGGCCGCCCGAGCAATTTCATCAAGCGGAGGTAGATGCAAGGTCGCATTTAGGGTGTATGACGACGTGAGACATCGTAAATTCGTATAATATAAACATAAAAAACAAAGTAGTCCAGACATATGGGGTTTCTAATGATTTCGACTGCAGCACCATTATGAATTGCAACCTGGTTGTACAATAAATAGAGATTTTCTAAATAACTCAACTGCAGCGCCACCTTGCGGGTCCATTTTTCGCATAAGTATTTTTCATTATGCAGGAAGAACACATTTTGAATTTGAACGAAATCAGTTCATAAATACGGCTTTTATAAATAACTCGGCTCCATCGCAACCAAGGAGTTTTCTAGTAGCCTTTAATAGGACTTTATGCGCATGGAATAACCTCCGAAAATTTGATTTAAATCTATCCAGGGGTTTGAGTTAAATCGTAACAAAAACGGTTATCATTTTATACATAAATATATGTAAATATCTATATACATAAATTACTTGTTTTATTATTATTTTATTCGTTATTGGAATATTTAATGAAGATAATAATTATTCGAATAACGAATAAAATAATTTATCCGTCATTCGAATAATTTTTTTTTTGAATAAACAAAATTATTTATTATTTATGAATAACAAGAAAAACAATTTATTCATTTGTTATTCGTCATTCGAATAAATTTTGCCCAACTCTGTTCGTGAATTCTTCATTTCATGAATTCAAAAATGGTCCCGTTTATGCATAGTTCGCGAATTAATGAAATAAAGTGATTTGAAAAAGTGGCAACGCACTGGCGGGAAACTAAACAGTAGGGTTGTGATTTTTTGGCCTCCTTTTGAATTTGCAAAAGCCGTTGGTGCCAGGCAATGCACCTTATTTTATTTAAATTGGTTTTAATACATTTTCAGTTTTTTCTATTTGAATTTACTTTGGCTGTATTTCTTTATTCATTCTGAACGTTTGGAATAAACTTTTTTGTTTACTTATTCTTTAGAACGTTCCTGATGATATGTTAACGTATATTTCAAACGCATTCTGTTTATTCCGGCTGTGAAATGGGATCATCCGGAATGTATCTTTATAACGCAGCCTTTAGATTTGACCAATTCCACATAACTTTTCCAGTGTTTAAAATCCTGGTTATGCAACTCATGGTTATTATTCTAAAAACATCATAACTCTAGTAAACAGCTGTTTGTGGAACGTGGCGTTGCCGGACTTGCACTTTACGATTTCATGAAATGATGCCGAATTCGTGGTTAACTTTCGTGTATAACTGAATTCATGAAATGGTGTTTATGCAGCCAATTTTAACCCAAATTCATGAAATGAATTCGTGAATTAGCCTACGCATAAACGTAGTAAAAGTTGCCAGCTTGCTAAATGGGAACAATTAAAGAATACCCACCGTTTCCCCACCTAAAATAGGAGTCGATAGAGCTTTTTGAGCTGATTATAACGGTACTAAAATTTAATTGCAGATATTAAAATTAAGCGAGATATCGAAGGTCAAAGATCGAAATTTGCTTTTGGAAAAACCGTAATATCTCCAAAACTAGTAAAGCGTGTGTAAAAGTTAATAAATAGTTTTAAAGGAAATTAATGCATCCTTCTTTTGGTCTGCATTCCTTGTGACTTGCATTTCTAATTTCTGATGAAAATGGGGTTTTATAAAAAATATATGAAAAAATTCGATTTAAACTGCTTTTTTTCAAAACTAGCCTTATTAGTATAGTGTTGTCGTTCTTTTGGTATAAAGAAAATTAATTTCCCTTTCGTTTGATATGCGTATGTCTATTTGTACTTGCGTCCACAGTATTTTTGCGTAGTATTAAACATAGGCGGCCTTCGGCCGGGCTTTAGGATTACAACCCTTACAAAATAGAATTCTCCTTTTGGCGTGCACCAACTGGGGCTACCGCCTTAGCCTTAGGAAAGGATGAGGTAACTAGAATTCCCTTTCTGTGTGGTAAACCTGGGGCTGCCGCCCCAGTGATGTCTATTATGGTTACTGATAAAATAATCATTTGTCGAACCAAAATACCGCATTGTTTTTGCAAAAATATTCCAGCATTAATGTGATTTCGCACAAATCACAGAGAATTCGTTAAAATAAATTATAAAGTAATACGGTAAAAAAAAATCCCCAGAATTGGTCAGTCAATATAACTTAAAAAGCAAAATATATAGTAAAATGCAAAAATTAAGTAGTTATATGATACATCAAACAAAACAAAATCAAATATAAATTTCAGAAAATATATTTATGGATTATGTTAATAATCCATTAAAAAAAACCATAAAAACAAATTTTTTTTGCGTATATTTTTACTAAGCCTCTTNCAAAATCAAATATAAATTTCAGAAAATATATTTATGGATTATGTTAATAAGGCGTTTAAAAAAACCATAAAAACAAATTTTTTTTGCGTATATTTTTACTAAGCCTCTTTTTTTCCACAAATGTCTTATACAAATTCACAAAATATGTATATCAAACGAAAGATGTTTAAAATACCTTTCGAACGTGGTGCCTTATTTTTAATTAATTGGTTTCGAAGATGTTAACAGTTTCCGAAATCCAAAATTTCATCTTTAACCCTGAATATCTTCTACAATTTTTATTTCTGCAATATAAAATTTATACGTGTGCTCAGCATTTACAACTCTATTAAACTTCGTCCCTCCTTTTTCTCTATCGAAACGGTGGGTATTCTTTACTTATGCCGTAAAATGATACCAAATTTGGTTACTTTTATTTTCTTTGGTAATTTGGTAACTTTCCGGCTAAATGCAAAAAACATTAAAATATTTTACAATAGGGCTGTTCAGGATGGGAAAATTTTCCTTAAATTCGGTATAAATTAAAAAAAAAAAAATTAGGCCCATAGAGGAGTTTTGCGATTCTAAAAGTGAAAACTCCAGAGCGCGGAGGCTTTTATTTAAAAAGTTAACTTTTAAAGTTGCACAATTCACCATATAAATTTCATTGATTAAGGCTTGTATGCAGCTCTCAATAAAAGCAATAACTCCATCTAAAATGACGTACAAGAAATGGCTAAGAAATTTTCTTGAGTCAAATTTCCTTAAGGCAGTACGCAGTTCTTAAGAAATTTACTACGCTTTCTACTACGGTTTTCTAAAGTTTTTTGTGAAAAAAGAGCACAAGGCAGCCTAGGTTTGCAACAGAAATATATGCCCGTTCCATTATTTCTTGAGGAAAGAGTGAGGCAACAGGCTGTGGGGTATCAAAAATGTCAAAATTCCTTGGACACAAACGCGAAATAATGGAAATTTTTTCTTGACCGTTTACTTGAGAGCTGCGTACAGGGCTTTACATGGAAGTGTGACAATAAACACACATATTGGTGCTACCAGATGATGAGAAAAGTAAAAACAGTGGTGGTTTTTGTATTCGCCTTATATTGAAAAAAAATTTAAAAAATTTCCATTATTTATCAAATTATCGATTTTTATAGGAAAGCGATGCAGGCCAAAATCTTTAATAAAAAATCGCGCGCTTTTTTATAAAAAAATTTTCATTATTTATCGAAGTATTGTTTTTGTTGTGAAAAAAGCGCCGCAGGCGAAAATTTGTAATAAAAATATTGCGCGATTTTTCATAAAAAATTTTCATTATTTATCGAAGTATTGATTTTTGAGAAACTTTCCAATACGGACGTTCATTAACAAAATGCATTTGCCATTGACAAAAATGCAACCCCGACCACCTAGGCCCCCTATGGGTCCCTAGGGACCTCTTAGAAAAATGGCCAAAAATCACAATTTTTACTTGCGTCCACAGTATTTTTGCGTATAATTCCTTTCGGCGTAGGAGGCCTTCGGCCGCGCTTTAGAATTATAACCCTTACCAAATAGAATTCTCCTTTTGGTGTGCACCAACTGGGGCTACCGCCCCAGTGATGTAGCCTACAATTCCCTTTCTTTGAGGTAAAGCTGGGATGTCTTTATGCAGAGATCTTTGTTTAACATATTTAAAAAAAAACATTATGCTCATTTATTCCCTACTGTTATCGAGACGCGTTTTATATTGTTAAAAAATAAAATACATTTCATGTACACAAAATACACGTTGCAAATATCATCTATACTATTATATAAAATTGATTATATGCAGTACGTTTGTAACGACTTATTTCTCAAAGTACTAAACCGATTTTAATATTTTTTTTTTTTTAAACGAAGCATTTGTAAAAAGACGCAGAGTGGCATACTTATATTTTTTATTCTTGGAAGATAAGCACCCTTTTTTTGGGTGTAAAGTTACAAAAAATTACAAAGACGTACAAGCATAAGCCTATTTGGTTGCCAAATACAGCGCACAGCTACGCGAAAAATCTGTACATCAGTGCCGATAAAACACGAGCTCACAAAGGCAAAAGAGATGTGTATGAGCGACGTGACTGCGCTATACCACATACATACACACATAAACGTATTTGAGCTAAACAGCGATCACTGATTGAACATGCTAAATACATACATATGTATGTGTGTACACATTCATAACCGAAAGGCAAAGCATCGCTTCGAAGTCATGGCAGTATGTGGTTGACACAACAAACTAATCATATGTATGTATGTATCCAAGTATGTCCATACACAGAGTTCAAAACAAACGAAACATTTCACGAATGATTCGTCCAAAGACACAAACTTTGCAAAGAAAAAAGAGTGCAAACAAAACGATTTCTGTTTCGCTCATTGACGAGAATTGGTAGATCGTTTTTCGTACAGATGAAGAGTGTAATCAGCTACAGCAATTTTTATTCGAAAATGAACCAAAGCTAACATCCGAGCAGTTATTAATATATGATAAGATGATATCTAGCGTAAAAAATAACACAGGATATGTTTTTTTTATAGACGCACCTGGAGGAACAGGCAAGACGTTCGTTACTTCACTACTTTTGGCTAAAGTTCGTAGCGAAGCCAAAATTGCTGTTGCTGTAGCCTCTTCTGGCATTGCTGCTACTCTTCTATGTGGGGGAAGAACTGCTCACTCCGCGTTCAAGCTACCTCTTAATTTTTCACCAGAACAACCCTGTATATGTTCGATAAAAAAAATAGTGCCGCCGCTGTTGTGTTCCAGAAAGCATCGCTAATAATATGGGATGAGTGTACAATGTCACATAAGTGTCATATCGATGCCGTGAATACAACACTTAAAGATTTAAGATCTTCTCCGGCGGTAATGGGTGGAGTTACTTTTGTATTCACAGGAGATTTTAGGCAAACATTACCGGTGGTCCCTAAGGGCACACGAGCAGATATTGTGAACGCGTGCTTTAAAAAGTCTGAAGTATGGTCACATACACAAAAATTAAAATTGTCTACCAATATGCGAGTTCAGCTTAGTAGAGATGGTCGTTCAAATCAGTTTGCTGAATACCTACTAAAAATAGGCAACGGCTCCACATCCATAACTCGCGACGGTTATATTACCATTACGGATGTTATGGGAAACTGTGTTACAACGATTGAGCAACTTATTGATCATGTATATCCAGATATGAATTATTTGCAGCACAAACACTCCAGCTGGCTATGCGAGCGAGCTATCGTCACTTCAACGAACTCTGCCGCAGACGAGATTAACAAGGCAATTTCGCAGAGAGTCTCAACAGAATATAAAGTATATAAGTCTTTGGACTCAGTGACAGATCAAGAAGATGTTGTTCACTACCCAACGGAGTTTCTCAACTTTCTTAACCCCCCGGGACTACCTCCGAATGAATTAAACCTTAAAAATGGTACGCCAATAACACTTTTGCGAAATCTTAAGCCTCCCTGTTTATGCAATGGCACACGACTCAAAATTACGCGTTTTATGCCTAATATTATTCAAGCGAAGATTTTAACCGGGCCTGCAGCAGGTGAAATCACTATGATCCCGAGGATACCAATGATACCAACAAATTTACCTTTTAGTTTCAAAAGAGTACAGTTCCCTGTCAGAACATGCTTCGCAATTACTATTAACAAGTCACAAGGGCAAACTTTTAATACTATTGGAGTTGATCTCCGGAGCGAAGTCTTTTCTCACGGCCAGCTATATGTTGCGCTGTCGCGAACTGGTGCCCCGCAGAATCAAACATTACTAATTCCTGGGAATGGAAAAGAAACTCGGAATGTTGTATTTACAGAAGTTTACAATAACTAAAAATGTACCTCCCTCTTACTTTATCTTTGGACTTTTTGTTTGTGTTTTTTTCAGTTATAGTCAAAACCTAACGGTTTGTTTTTTTCTACTTTGGAATTTAATTTTATTGCATTAAAAGAGCTTTAATAAATCATTTTTTATATCGTTGGAGAATCAAACAGTTATATTTCATTCGAATACAGATACGTACGTGGGCAACGCCACGGGTAAGTGCTAGTATATATATATAAATATAAGTGGGTCGACAGGCCCTGAGCGGTATTCACAGGGAATCGGTCTCAAGTTATGTAGACTCCCGCCCTGTGAATGCCGTTCTAGGCACACAACCACCTGACGTGGACGGGACAGAACTTTGTCTGCCTCGGGAGACCCGCACCACAATAGCCTAACTTCGCTCTGGCTATTGCAGCAGGCTAAAC